AGAGAGAGAGAGAGAGAGACAGACAGACAGACAGACAGACAGACAGAAAACACATGGCCAGCAAGTCACTCCCACCAGGTCACAAGGCTGGCAAGCCACTCCCACAAAGGAGGCCACACCCACAGAGTAGGTTCGAAAATTTTTTGAAACCCACCACTGGTCACAACATTGGGTAATGAAATGTCTGCAAGAAAACGAAAGCTCAGAGAGCACCAAGGACCCCTCATGTCAATACTGAGCTATAAATATTCTTCTTTATTAGTCAAATTTGATCATCGTGGAAACAACTCAGTTCTCGTCTCCTAGTATAGCTCCATCCAGAGTTCTTCCTTTTAAAACTCTGCCAGTTAATCCAGATTTTGCTTTAACCTGACTTCATCTTCTCCAGTCGCAATATTCTGCATCAGAATGCCATATAGATAAACATATATAAGAAACATATAGTAGCTGTTGTTAGTATGAAATCCGGAGTGAATTATGCTTGTCTGTTGCTTTTTCCCCCACAGTTGAAATATTGACTACTGAAGTAACTACTATTACTACAGAAAGTACTACTACTCCTCAGCCTACAACAGCAGGTACAAAATATATTTAAAAAAATGAACACATATGTAAGTCAACGGGTGATTAGTTGACACAAGGGGTTACAATGACTCAGTGGTTAAAGATGTAGGGTTTGTCAGCTGGAAAGCTGCCAGCCTTGGTTTGAGACCCGAGTGACAGGTGATGGGGTGAGTGCCCATTCCTGCCCACCTAACGGTTCGAAAGCATGCAAATGCTAGTAGATAAATAGGTACCACTTAAGAGCTGTGGTGGTGCAGTGATTAGAATGCGTTACTGCTGCCTGCCAGCTGCCTGCAGTTCAGCAGTTCGAATCTCAACAGGCTCAAGGTTGACACATCCTTCCAAGATTGGTAAAATGAGGACCAGATTGTTGGGGGGCAATATGCAGACTCTGTAAACCGCTTAGAGAAGCCTGTAAATTTACATTAGGAAAAGAAAAAAAAATAGGTTTTGGCTTCTGCACAGCCCATTTTTGCCAAAAACAGGCCTGTTTTTGGCAAAATGCACCCTTTTTGGCCTGCAGAGTGCTTCTGGAGTCCTGGGAGGGCGAAAACGTAATGCATGGAAGGCATGGGGGGCCCAAAATGCCCCTATAAGCAGCGCCTAAATTTTCACCCACTTTTAGGGGGGGAAGTGTGTTTTATACTCTGAAAAATATGGTAACTGGTATGGGGAGGCAATGTAGTGCTCTCTGATATGCAGACTAGATGCTTCAAAAGCTGTTTGAAATGTCTGTCGTTCTGGTAGTCTTTCGGACAGGAATAAAAAATCTCATGGTCGAAGATGAAACTACCTCAAGTCTGAAAGTCAAATGGGATATTACGGACCTCAGTGTTTCCCAGTTCAGGGTGACGTATATGAAGGCTGATGGTGGTCACGGGGAGGAAACGGTAAGGATGATGATCTGATAGATACTTGTTTTGAAGCTTAGCTTGGACTTTTAAAGAATTATTGCAATTATTGGAATCAAAGGGAACATTCTCCCCTTGATAACTATCGATTGCCTGCATAATCTAAGCCTCTGTTTGCTAGTATTGTTTACTTATCTATATAAAAAGATATATGTCATCAACATCCAATGCATTCTGCAATTTCATAAGCCAAAACCCTACAAGGCTTGGACTTACAAATGATAATCAATAGAAAGAAAGATAGTTCTCAAGTTGCAACAATATCTGTGACTGGAATTTTCATTGCTAAGCTAGATGGTTGTAAAGTGAACCACACCTGATTTTTTTCCCCATGATGATTGAGCAAATTACTGCAGTTGTTAAGTGAATTTAGCAGTCATTACCTGAATCTGGTTTCCCCCTGTTGACTTCCTTGTAGGAAGTTTGCTTGGAAGGTCACAAATGAGAAGCATTTTGTCTTGGGATGCTGCAACCATCGTAAATACATACTAGTTGCCTAGGGCTCAAATTCTGATTACGTAGCTATGGGGATGCTGCGATGGTCATAGGTGAGAGAACCAGTCAGAAGTCACTTTTTCAATACCTTTCAAACAGTTGCTAAACAAATCCTGTTGCATTAACAGAGAGATCAATCAAGTGAGGTACTAATACCACTCTTTAAAGCCTTAGTAAGACCATGCCTAGAATACTGCAACCAGTTTTGATCACGACACTATAAAAAAAGATGCGGAGATTCTAGAAAAAGTGCAGAGAAGAGCAATCAAGATGATTAGGAGGCTGGAGGCTAAAATATATGAAAAACAGTTGCAGGAACTGGGTATCTCTAGTTTAAGGAAAAGAAGGACTAGGGGGGACATGATAGCAGTGTTCCAATATCTCAGGGGTTGCCACAAAGAAGAAGGAGTCAAACTATTCTCCAAGGCACCTGAGGGTAGAACAAGAAGCAATGGGTGGAAACTGATCAGGTAATGACTGCTAAATTCACTTAACAACTGCAGTAATTTGCT